CCATGGTTGTGCAGCTGACTGTTGCGCTCACAGATTGGAAACTGCAATATATAGTAAAGCCAAGTCCCCCTCCTCCCTACGTCCCACCTCCTGCTGATCTTTTGCCTTTTTTTTTCCTTTCCCTTTCACTTTCTCAGAATACTACTCAGTTCCCCAAACTCACTGTGCCTGGACTGTGCCAGTGGATTCACAACCAGGGACTGCTGGCTGGGAAAAGAGCTGACTGCTGTGATCACAGATTGGGAACTGCAATATATAGTAAAGCCAGGTCCCGCTCCTCCCCACATTCCACATCCTGTCATTGTTTGATTTTCCCTTTTTTCTCTTCCTTTCCCGGAATCCTGGTCCATTCGCTGAAGTCACGTTGCCTGTACCATATTAGTGGATTCACTGCAGGCACTGCTGGTGGGGAAAAGTGCTCCAGCATGCTGCAGCTGTTTGCTGAGAGTGCCTGACACCTGGCTGGCCACTGAGGGCAGGGACTGCATGACCACTGTGCCCATGACACCCATAGCTGCTGGATGCAGTGCTTCTCCTCCTGCAGCCACTTCATCTACAGCTGTAGTACCATTGTCTCATGCCTGAAGCAGTCCAGCACCAGTGCCTCATTCTCCTGTGGGACATTGAGCCATGCTGGTGTTGCCTCACAATACCAAGGTGCATCCACAATGCCCCGACAGCAGTGCACAGTACCTCTATGGTACAGACACAGTGTGCCAGCACCACAACACAATATCTCCAATACTGCAGCCAAAATGCACCTGTACCACCACACAATCACACAACAACACGGTACAGCCAGAGTGTGCCTGCACCACTGCACAACAGCATCACTGTGCTGTCCATGCAGGGCCCACCCTCTGCTGCTGTTTGTACGGAGTGAGCTGGCTGATGCAGTTGCTGAGCCGCCTGGCTATCAGATGTCCCCAGAGACTGGAAAATGGCAAACATCACTGCCATTTGTAAGAAAGGGAGGAAGGAGGACTCGGGGAACTGCAGGCTGGCAAGCCTCAGCTCTGTGCCTGGGAAGATCATGGAGCAGAACATACTGGAAGACCTCTCAACTGTCCAGGAGCTGTTGCATAGTACAAGAATTGCCAGCTGCCTTCCTGTGTGAATGCTGTGGCCTGCACTTCTGATAGGGGCAGCTGGCACAGGCACAGCATATCACAGCGGCTTGGAGACAACACCCAGCCTGTTATCAACCACTCCAGCCAGCAGCAGCTCCAGTGTGTCAGGGCGTGGTGTTGGTACTGCAGCACAGTGCCGTGGTGCAGCCACAGTGCACTGGTATCATCACAGTGCACACCCTTTGCTCAGCCACGCTGTGCTGGTACCACCACACAATGCCATGGCACAGCCACAGGTGCTGGCTTGCTGCTGGTGATGGCTGCCACGTATCTCTGTGCCAGGCACACCAGCACTGCAGGAGGTGACAGTCACCCGCACGCATTCCCCGTGTGCCACCCGTCCTTTTCTACCTGTGCTCACTGCTGCCCATCACTATCCAGCTGCCCAGCAGCACCTTCACCTGCACCTCCTACTCCATGTGCCAGCAGAAGCCATCTGCCTGTTGCCAGAAGCCCGGCTGTATCTCATCCTCGTGCAGCTCCTCCCACACTGCCAGCACCATGTCGGCTGCCGGCTGCTCCAGCATGAGCTGCTTGCAGCGGGGGAAGAAGTTGTGTTGGCAGCCCAGCAGCTCATTGCTCTTCACTGTATGCCTGTTCTCTGCATTGCCACCATCACCGCAGTGCCACTGCCCACAGGGACACACAGTGATGTGCAGGGACAAGTGGTGATGGCTGTACCAGGTTGCAAGCGCTCTGTGTCCTGCAGGTATTCCTCCTTGCTCATGGGCTGCTCGCCCACCTGCAGCTGCAGTGTGAAGTCGTGCACGGCCCAGGTTAAGCCGTTCTCACCGCATCACTAATCTTGTCACATCACTGCTATCACTGCACTGCTGCCCTCCCAGCCAACATAAAGGACTCCCACTATGGTGCAGCCCGGTGATGGACACGTCCACCAATGGGCTGGTGATACCAGTGCCATGGGGTTGAGAGACAGCATGCTGTTGTTGCAAACCTGGCAGAGGGGGGCCGGCATCAGGGGCACGAGAGCCTGCTTGGCTATGCAGCTGCCAGAACCAAAAAGGAAAGCACACCCAGCTCCTCTGGACACATTTCCTGCTGCTGTTTCCTTTGCTTTACCCAAACATGCCCAGTGCTGTCCCAAAATGACAACACCCGGAAAGTGTCACAGAATTTATTGCATGGACAGCTGGCAGGGCACACGGCTACACATCGCTGTCCTCATCGCTGTCCACATCACTGTCCTCATCACTGACCTCCTCTTCGCTGTCACTGTCTGAAGGGATGAGCTGAAGAGATGTGAACAGATTACTCAGGAAGTTCATACCCGTGCGGCACCATGAGGAGATCTCCATTTCCTTCTTCTCCGTCTGCATCTGCTTAATCATCTGCTGAATTGCCACCTCTATGTGTTTGAAGCCCTCGTTCATCAGTGCCTTGCGCTCCTGTGGGATATGGAGTGGGGTTGCTGCCACCACACAGTGCAGCCACAGTGCAACAGCACCACCACCGAGCAGCTTAATGCAGACACAGTGTGCTGGTACCACCACATAACACGTCCATGGTACATGCACAGTGTGCCAGCATCACCACACACCTTCCTGGTACAGCCAAAGAGGCCCATAGGAAAGCTACAATGTGCTGGTACCACCACCGCACAGCGTCACAAACAGAATCACAGAATCACAGAATTGCCAGGGTTGGAAGGGACCTCAAGGATCATGAATCTCCAACCCCCCTGCCACATGCAGGGCCACCAACCATCCCACCTAATGCTAGACCAGACTGCCCAGGGCCCCATCCAATCTGGCCTTGAACACCTCCAGGGACGGGGCATCCACAACCTCCCTGGGCAGCCTGTTCCAGCACCTCAACACTCTCTCTGTAAAGAATTTCCCCCTGACGTCCAACCTAAAAAACCTATGGAATAGACATGTCATGCCAGCAATGCCATCTAACATCATCACGGTGACCATCTTTACAGCCACAATGTGCCAGTACCATCACACATCAGCAAAATGGCACAGCCACCGTGTGACACTAACACCACACAACACCGCTTTCCCATTACACAATAGTCACGGTGCAGCCACAGTGCATCTGTACCACCACACAACACCTCCATGGTACCGCCATTGTGCTCCAGCACCACAACACAGTACCTCCAGTGCTGCAGCCAAAATGCACCTGTACTACCACACATACCATCGCGGTTCAGCCAGAATGTGCCTGCACCACTGCACAACAGCGTCACTGTGCTGTCCACAGAGGGCACGGTGCTGCTGGTGACAGCAGCCCACCCTCTGCTGCTGTTTGTATGGAGGGAGCTGGCAGATGTGGTTCCTGAACCTCTCTCCATCATCATTAAAATGTCAGGGCTGTCAGGAGATGTCCCCTGAGACTGGAAAAAGGCAAAGGTCACTGCCACGTATAAGAAATGAAGGAAGGAGCACCCAGGGAAATCCAGGCTGGCAAGCCTCATCTGTGTGCCTGGGAAGATCATGGAGCAGATCCTCCTGGATGACATGTTAAGGCGCATGAGTGACGGACGACAAGGTGACCCCAGGCAGCCAGCACGGCTTTGCCAAGGGCAGATGGTGCCTGACCTGTCTGGTGGCCTTCTGTGATGGACTGACAGCATTGGTGGACAAAAGAAGGGCGACTGATGTCATCCACCTGAACCTGTGCAAGGCCTTTGACATGGTCCTGCACCACATGCCTATTTGTAAAATGGAGAGAGATGAGTAGACTCTTTGGTGGATAAGAATTGGTTGGATGCTCACAGCCAGGTGGTTGTGCTCAGTGGCTCAATGTCCAGGTGGAGGCCGGGCACGAGCCATGTCCCTCATGGGACCTTCTTGGGTTGCTGCTCTTCCACATCTTGGTCAGTGTCGTAGTGGGATTGAGTTGGCTGACAACACCAAGCTGAGTGGTGTAGTTGACACAAGAGGAAGAAGGGACGCCATCCACAGGGACAAGGACAGGCTTTGGAAGTAGGCCCACGTGAACGTAAGGAGGTTCAGCAAGGCCCAGTGCAAGGTGCTGCTCTTGGGTTGGGGCAATCCCAGATAGATGTGCAGACTGGGAGAACTCCATGAGTGCAGCCCTGAGGTAAGGAGTTGGGTGTCCTGGTGGACAAAAGCTGGACACGAGGCAGCAGTGTGTGCTTGCAGCCCAGAAAGGCCAAAAGCATCCTGGGCTGCATCAACAGAGAGCAGTCAGCAGGCAGGGAGGCGATTGTCGCACTCTGCTCTGCCCATGAAGATCTTGACCCCCATCACATGAACGATGTGAAGTTTTTGCAGCAGGCCCAGAGGAGGGCCAGAAAGACGCTCAGAGGGCTGAAGCACCTCTTCCTCTGCAAACACAGGCTGAGAGAGCAGTGGGTGTTGAGAATGGGGAGAAGAAGGCTCTGGGGTGACCTTGCTGAGGCCTTCCATTACTCAGGGGCACTTATAAGCAGGATGGAGAGTGCCTTTTTGGACAGTCTGGTAGTGACTGGGCAGGGAAGAAAGGTCTTAAACTAAAAGAGGGCAGGTTTAGGTGAGCTCTGAGGAGGAGGTTTTTCACTCAGAGGGCTGTGAGGTGCTGGCACTGCTGCCCAGAGCTATGGGTGCCCCATCCCTGGAGGTGGGCAAGACCATGGATTGGCCTCGGGCAGACCAAGCTGTTGTTGGGCAACCAGCCTGCAGCTGAGAGGTTGGAAGCAGATGGTCATTGACACCCTTTCCAATCCAAGCCATACTAGTGTTTGTGATTCCACAATTCTGTGATTCTATGAGATGCCTGAGTGGCCCCCGCTCTGGAACTTAAAATGGAAATACATGCAGCCCCGTAGTCCACCCTCTGCCTCTGCTGCCTTTGCTTCCCTGGAATGAATCCCCACGCTTTCCTGAAATGATAACACTGGGGCAGTGCAACTGGATTTATTGCAGGGACAGCTGCTGGGCAGCAGTCCACATCACACGCGCCGCAGTTTATTGAAAAGTTTTCCTGCCATACCAGGCAGGAATGGAGCCAAAATGTTGCTCAGAACGTTCAGAGCTGAGCTAACCCAGGTGCCCACCTCCATTTTCTTCTTTTCCTTCTGCAGCTGTGTGATCAGCTCCTGCATGGCTGCCGCCTCACGCTTGAAGCCCTCCCGCACCAGTGCTTCATACTCCTGTGGGACAGGGAGCAGTGTTAGTAGCAGCATACAATGCCATAACAGCCACAATGTGCTGGTACCAACACAGAACACATCTGTAGTACACTCACAACACCGTCACAGCGCTCACCTTCTTGTGGTGCTCCAACACGCGCTGCTGCTCCTCCAGCCACGCACGCTGCTCCTCCTTCAACTGTTGCTCCAGCTGACGTTTGTGTTCCTCCACGGTGCGCCGCTGCTCCTCCAGCCGTGCCTCTGCAGCCTTCTGGGCCGCCTCTGCTTCGGCCGCTGCTGCCTCCCGCTGCCGCTCCGCCAGCTCCAGCTGCACCTCAGTGGCCTTCAACACGTGTGCCAGCCCCTCGCGCTCCCGCAGGAACACCTCCAGCACCGCCTCCGCCTGACCGAACAACCATGAGGCACAGTTCCATCGCACCTGGTGCCACCCCAGCCCACTCCCACACACCCCACTCACCTTGACACCCTTGTCAGGCCGCCGCTTGTACTCCTCCAGCACGCGGTCCAGGTCCTCCTTGAACAGCTGTGCACCACCAGGTGCCACGTAGTCCCCATTCTGCAGGCGGAGCTCCACATCCCTCCAAAGCTCCTGCAGCACTGCATGGCACCGCTGCTCCGACGCCTCCTCATTGCGCTGGCAGAACTCCTCCTTGGCTGCCTCCAGCTTGCACTGCGCCACAGATCAGTGCTCAAGTGCACAGCCATGCCTCCAATACCCCACGATGTGACGACAACTCACCACCAGCTCCGCATGGTATTGGCGTTCATGGTCAGCAAAGGCACGGGACAGAAAGAGGGTGATGGCGCGTTGCACACAGTCCTGATGCACAGCCATGAGAGCACTGTGTGAGGGCGTGGGCAGCACCAGGCCCTGCTCCATGCCCCGCTGGTACTCGGCCACCGCCGCCTCCACTGCTGCTTTGTTCTCGGCCCGTGCCAGTGCTGTCACTGCGCTCTCCACGCAGGGCACTGCACCGTTGGTGATGGCCGCCACGTATTTCTCCGCCAGACCCGCCAGCACTATGAGAAGTGACAGCCACTCACACATGTCACTGCCACGCATGTGTCCCCGTCACCTGCACGCGTCCCCTGCATGCCACCCATTCTCACGCTGCTGCCACTCACCGCTGCCCGTCACCTCGTGCCCACCCGGCAACACCTTCACCGGCGCCTCCTCCCAGATGTACCGGCAGAAGGCGTCCACCTGTTTTCGAAAGCCCGGCTGCAGCTCGTCCTCCCGCAGCTCCTCCAACCGCGGCAGATCCGCATCAGCTGCTGGCCGCTCCATCGTGAACAGCTTGCGGTGGGGGAAGAAGTTGCGCAGGCAGCGCCGCAGCTCATTGCGCTCCTTGGCCTTCTTCCCGTCCCCTGCATTGCCACCGTTAGCACAGAGCCACCGACGGTGGATACGCACAGGGCTGCGTGGGGACACACGCTGGTGGCCATACCGGTCTGCAGTCGCAGCACATCCTCCAGGTACTCATCCTCACTCAGGGCCTTTTCACCGGCCCGCAGCTGCAGTGTGAAGTCACGCACGGTCCAGACGAAGCCCGGGAAGATGCGGACAAAGTTGGATGCTGGGTTGTCATTCTCCTCCCGCACGCGGATGTGCTCTGTCAGCTCCGTTACCAGCCTGTGGGACCCACGTCACCCCGTCAGCGTTGTCACTGCAGTATCTTTGCCACACTGTCACCTCCCTCCCAGCCATCCCTGTACCGCAGCTGCTCCAGTGCCCGCTGGTCAATGGTGCCTATGCTGTTGTACACCAGGGTGCTGGAGAGCAGCAACGCCAGCGTGAAGATCCAGGCGTCGCTGTCATCGTCATCCTGCACACATATCTGAGTTACTGGGGATCCACTTCTATGGGGTGTTTGGGACCTCCCTACCCCTGCACTCACCTTTTTGGGGTCTCCCAGCCCCTCGGTGTCCAGCAGCACCAAGGTCACTCCCTGCCGGCGCGGGTGGGGCAGGCACCACATCCAGATGCCCTTGGTCTCCGCATGCACCGTGGGGCCCAGCGGGAAGCCTGTGGGCAGTGAGCTCTCTGAAATCCCACAAGATGC